AAAATATATTAAAATGTAGCCAACCTATTTATTTTTTCCACACTGTATGCATATTAGATTCTTACTTATATAATACACACTTACATAGTTATCAATCAATCGTTTTTAATAAATTTTTTAATTTGTTGTTCGAATGGGAGTGTAGGAGGTTAGAAGTGGAGTTTCTTTGTTCGTTTGGTATAATTGCTATTTCAAGATTGTGCGATTATTAATTAGAGCTTTCACGAAGCATTCCTTGAAAATAGAAACAAAAAAAAGGCTTTTAAAAATATGTGTTATTGGCTTCGTACCCATGGCCATACATAAAAAATACGCAATAAATATTTGAAGAACTTGAATGATATTAGAAAAATATAAAACCTTAAACTTTCAAGCAGTTGCAATCATTAGCATATGCTGAGGTGACTAGCATTTGATCGCGACGCAACCTGTTGCAATCGATCACTTCCGCAGCGGCTAAAATTCCTTTCTGCTGATCTAATCGCACAATCCTTCAACTACCGTGTGTTTTAATACGTCATTTGTGGATTCACAATGTAGTGTGCACGTCTTACGTAGATATATTAAAAATATATTTTCTTATGTTTAACATTCACATTTATAAATCTATTTAATCTAAAATCCAATAAACTACTTTATCCAACAAACAGCTAGGGTATAATTTAAATTTTTTTTTTTTTTGCAATTTCGTGTATTGAATGGAATTTTGCAAATTATTCTAGTCATGTGCTCAGAAAACTGGGGTGTTGCTCATAATTTTCGTAATCGATTTAGAAACTATTGATTCGCAGTGTGAATAATAAATGTATTATGAATTTAAAATGTTTCGGATGACGACTGGTCGCACAGCTCTAGCTAAAATACCATTTAATAATATTTTCTGGTTGCGTTTGTGTGTTTATTTTATATTTCTAGGTGCTTGTGTTCATAAAAATAGCGATCAATACTTGATATTCTAATTTTGTATTTTTTTCTTTGTTTTATTGCTAAAATTTGCAAACAATGTGTTTTCGAGTTTTTAACTTTAAAACCTAATTTTTCGCGTTGACTATTATTATTATTATTATTTTGTATTTATGTTTAAGAATATACAGACATATCTCATAAAATTTCAATCACTTTGCTGCTGTTTATTTAATGCTGTGCCTTTCTCATTTTAATACGTACTTTGTATTCAAATACCGTGAAAATTTTCAAAATACTCTCTTAAATTAAGTATATAATTATCTATGTGTATGTATGTATGCAATAACATAGTATTGACTGAGCAGAGAATACATTCGTAGCAGCTAAGAAATGCCGTACAACTAAAACTTATTCTCAAAATTTTAAAGTTACTAAGCGATCGCAGCATAACATTTACAATTTTCCTTAGTTAAGAAAGTTTTTTGTTTTTGTATTTTTATCTTTTAACGGCATTCACTTGATTTGGTGACGCACACACTATACTGTACAATAAGAAATGCATGCCAACAAAATTCATTGCTGTCCTGCTTGCATTTAATCTCAAAATGCTTTGGCTTTAGTGCAGCGTAGGATCTTACAATTTCTAAAAAAAAATTTCAAAATCGCCAGCTTGCGCTCGCCTTAAAAGTTGTATGCAGTTTACAACGAAAATGACGCTAGAAAATGCTTATAAATCGTTTGATGTTATACAAAAAATTTAGAAAGTTATCCTTTATAATTTAAATGCTATCGTACAATTACATACATACTTTAATTTTCAATAATATATACACATGCATGTGTATACCTACATTCATTTTACTTAATTTCGCATGCCAATTGGCTTTTTATGCATTGTGTATAAGCCTTTTTTTTCATTTTGTATGCAGTAAGCAGAATGATTAGTTTTTACTTTCTTTACATTTGTAGTTAATTGCATTTCCCACAACTACAACTATAATTATTTATCTATTTAGTTAATTAATAACTGGCTTCATGGCCGGCTAGAATGTAAAGATCATGCCCCTCCTCGCTGCCCAGTGAGCCGGTGCGCAGCAATTGACTCTCCAAAGCGACGACTCTGCATACAAAAAAAGGAGATAGAAAAGACAAGGTGAGTTTCGATAGAAAATTGTGCAATGCCATTACAAAGAGTAATTACTTATCACAGCCGAGCAGTCGATATGTGCGACTCATATCCTTGATTTCCTGCGTTATTTCGCCATTGCGCAACGACTTGCCCTGCATGCCGTGCTTATGGAATGCTAGTACGCTGTCCGGTAGACAAACTGGTAGGAAGAAAACAAAGCGTTAGCAATTATATGAAAATTGATGATGTATACATCAGGGTGGTCGACGCTCGATGAGTAGGAGTTTAACATGCTAAAATATCTAGAAAAGCGTCTCTCCTCTGCTGTGCACTTTCGGAAGGCATGTTGGCGCGTAGAGGGTACGTTCTCCACCGAAACATGCAGAGTGAATTGTCGGGCTGGACATAAGTAGCAGTTCGACTTACCTATGCTATCCACACTGAAATCGAAATTGAGTTGCGAGACCATTTTCTTGTGCTGCTTCGGATTGCCCTGCAGCGTGACGACTTGTATGATGTTGCCATAGCAGACAAGTATCGCATCCTTTTCTACCTGATGTACTTTCACCACTTTCAACAGATCACGCCGCGGCACCATTGTTGCCATAGCATCGAAATCCAAATCGTCCGAATGGAACCAACTAGCGCCTGGCGAGAAATAATCAAAATTAGCGGAGAACCCTTTTGTTAGCAAAAAAAAAAAACGTTTTCCTACTATTCATATTGATCAGTTCTAGCTTGAGACAGCCATTGAGTGCTTTTCGCACGCCCGTGCACACGATCGGATACTCCAGTTCCGGCGTGATGATCATCTCGAAGACGGGTGTGTGGCCATTCAGCACGCAGCCATGCCCGCCGCCCAGTATGCTCGTTGCCGGCCATTCGCATTGCTTGAGCAGCATGAATTTGTTCAGCGGATCGTACCACTGCATAAGGAAGATGCCGCTGGGCGTGGCGCCGCACAAGTATTTGTAGCCGTTGTAGGGATTGCGCGTGACGCAGCACTGGGTGCAGCCTTTGGTGTCGGGAACTTTGGTGGTGAGCGCGAACTTGCGCGGTACTAGTCTTTCGGGAATTTTGTTCATGTGCAGCGAGAAACGATGGGTCTGCTTGGAATGTAGCGCGATCAGATCGTGCCTATACAACTGACAGGATTTGCCTACAGAACGACAGAGGAATGGTTGAAAACATGTTATAACATTCGAGAATATGCTCACCTGATAGACTCATTAGCACGTCCTTGATCACATACAGCCAGGTGGTGCGACGCGGAAAGAGCTGATCTATTACCGCATCGTGCAGCTCGTTCATATTCAGATTGAATATGCCTTCATCGGCGCCGATGAGCAGGTGTTGGTCGCGCGTTTCGGGGTGGATCCACGAGGCGGTGCAGTGTATGCGCAGCGGGCAGCCGTTGAAGATCTTTGAGAAACAGGCGCCCATATGCACCTTGGGCGTGGGGGGCAGACCGTTGGAGATGGGGCGTGGCGGGGTGTGGCGGCGACGATGTGAACGTTTGGGAGGCACGGGGGGCGTATTGTTGAGCAGATCCGGTTGGGCTTCTTTCTCCACTGCAAATAAAAATGAACGTAAATCATCGAGTTAAATTTGTATGACAAAGAAAATGTGGTCATTCTTCATACTTTCGTCCTCTTGCGTGCCTCCATCGCTGAGGCTGCGTGTTCTCGACGATTTGCCCATGTCATTTAGCAAGCCAATCAGCTGGTCCATTGAGCTATGGCGACGTGGCGAGTCCTCTAAACCGTTCTGTACAAATAAGGGAAAAATTAATTACGGAAATGAGTAAACCCAGCAGACGCTTGCCAGGGCTACGCGCCATAATGCATGGCACTTCATACACACCTGAATACTTTCATGCCTATAATCACAATTGTTGTCAATGCCTCCGCCAGTCGCCTGCGCCGATGTAGGCGTGCATTCGCCAGAGGCCGAGGCCGAGGTCGAGCCCGCCGAAGCAGCCGAAGCCGATGCGGATGCGGACGCTGACGTCGCCGTTGCTGCAGCTGCGCCAATAGTCGTTGTCGAATCGGTCGCTGAAGTGTTGCTATTAAAATAATTGGCGCCATTATTACGCAGCAAATTTGTGAACAAATGCGATGTAGAAGCAGAGGAATGCATGAGCACATCACGAGCAAACGCGGACGTGGATGACGAGGGCGATGGGGAAGCGACAAGGCCGCCGACACTACTACCAACACCAACAAAACCAACAGCACCACCAACACCACTACCGCCGTTCCTATCAACACCTAACACACCACAAACTAAACCACCTTCGCCAACGCCACCGCCACCATTAGTACTACTAACACTACCAACTAAGTCACCGCCGCCAGCACCAGCACCACCATCGCTATCGCAACTGAAACTATCTAACGGATTGTACGACGACGAGGACAACGATGTGTGCGGCAATTGCCCGTTGAGAGTTGTTGTCGTCGCCATTGTGGCATCGTAGGAAAAGCTGGAGGGGGTTGCCGCAAGGCCGGTGGCGCTGGATGAGCGCGAATGCATATTGCTGCCGCCATGTCCGCCTTTGTTGTTCCTGTTACTATTGTTGTTGCTGCTATTGTTACTGTTGTTGGTGTAGTGCATGTAATGATGATGATGATGTTGGTGATAACGTGGCTGCTGTTGTTGCTGCTGCTGCTGCTGCTGTTGGTGTACGTGTGTATGCTGTTGCTGATAGCGAGTGCCGCTGTCGTGGTTGGCATTATTGGTCACAGCATCAACCGAAGTCGTGCGCAAATTGGAAAAGCCAATACCCAGTCCCAAGTAGGCGGACATCGAATGACCCAAACCGCCAGCACCACTGCCGCCATTGACGCTTGTGGTTGCTGCTGTTGCTGCTGATGTGGCCGTCGCAGAGGTTGTGGAGGAGCTGCTGACATCGTCGGGGGCTGATGGCGCAGGGGCGTCGTTGGCGCCGATGCTGCTGCCACCTCCATTGCCATTGCCATTTCCGCTATTGCGCGCGCAGTGGCACTCGGTGCTAAGCAAATCTTTGGTATCGGTTAATGGCAGAGTGGCTCTGTAAGGATGTGGTCAGTGATCAACGATGAGCGAACAACGTGCGCGCGATATAAAAATAATTGAGTGACGAACGAATGTGTGAGGGTGAAGAGCGTTGTGAGAGTGAGAGAGCGGCGGGAGAGAAAGAAAGGAAGAAAGAAAAGCGACATATGAGAGACTGCGAGCATCGATTTCTTTATAAACGATTGTGAGTATGATTCCAAAGGTGCCTAAATGTAGGCAGCATTTGTTTGAAAATTTTGAAATTTTAATATTTTTATGGTGTAGGGCACGTTTGTTTATACCAAAGTTGAGTTTGAAATCAGATTTTAGCGAAAATAGGAAGGAACATAGGAGGAAGTCTTTAAATGAATTAATTTTGGATTAACATTTATAAAAATACATAGAACACCAGAAAGTATGCAATGAATACGTAAAAAAAAAAACAAAAATATGATTTTACATTCTTAAAGAAAATATATCCAATTTTTAGTTCAAACCAGCTTTAAAAGGGTAAAACGTGCTTTTCAATTTTTAATAACTACGGTCCAAAAGGCATATAATAAGGCTATGGTGGAATGTAGGGAGGCAAGTTGATGCGTTGTGTGATGATTTATGTATGTAGGTATGTACATATAAGTTAATATCATATATTATTTGAGTGTCCGTTTTTAGTTGTGTTAGTTGGTGAATTAAGACAACAATGCAAATAATTATGCCACAACAAACATTTCTCTATTAATTTAATTAATTTCATTAGTCGAGTAATGAGCATAAGAGATTAGTGTGCTACCGCTGTTGTTGTTATTATTGTTGATGAAAATTGGTTTATTAAATGAGATTACAAAACGATTAGTACGTAATGAAATCATATACATATGTACATATATATTTATGTATCTATGTATTCGACAAAACGCAACGAACCGTTAGGTTAAATTATTTGCACACACTAATCGGAAAAAGATTAATTACTTACGGAAACAAACACACACACACACACCTAGATACATACGCATACAGTTATGCCCAACTAATTAAACCGGCGGCATATCGACTAGTTTTGTTTAAGTATTTTCCTTTTGTTTATTATTATTAGGCGACTTAAAAAAATAAGCAGGTTATCAATTTGTCACAATGTTTTTGTTTTGTGTATGTTACCGCATAACTTTAGACCACGGTCACCGATTTCACTAATTTTTAAAGGAAAGGTGGTACCTCAGAGGCGGTCCCATACTAATTTGGTGGATGAAGAATTTAACGGTACTCTTAAATTTTTTTCTCGGTTTTGTTTTGTTTTTTTTCTTAAAAATTACTTGTTTTTTATAAAAGTCTAATGTCCTTATTCATAAAAAATAAAGTAGGTTTAAAGAGCTTTATAAATTGAGGTTTTCATACATTTTTCAGTTTATAAACCTTTTATAAAGCTACTTTATTTTTTATGAATAAGGCCATAAAGTTATAAAAATTCAAGGAATTTTCAGCAAAATTACAAACTTTTCATTCAGAATTTTTAGCAAATGTACAATTTTCAGGAGGCAAGGATTCGCGTTGATTTTTAATATATATATGTATATATTTTTTTTGCTGAAGGTGTCACGCATTTTCTCCCACATAAAGTTTGAAATGTGGATTCATGTGGTGTTTGCTATATAACGAACTAGACTTTTATAAAAAAAAGTATAAACATTTAGTTTTTCTCCCTGACGTCAGTTTTTTTAAATTTTGTTTAAAAAATTCAGTGCAATGTAGAACAACAATGTTGCTATCAAATAAAAGAGAAAATTCTGTAGAATTAAAAAAGTTCAAATTTTATGGTGCATTAGGACGAATAGGTACTGAAAAGTTATTTGAATATTTTGTCCTTGAAAATTTTCAATATGTATTTTTGAGAAAATTGTATTTTAAGGACTAATATACAGACGACTACATACTCGAATTTCGTCCTTTTCACTTTATTGGCTTAAACAAATAAAATTGAATAAAAGTAAACCTTTCAATACCTATTCGTCCTTGTGAAAAGGCTTACATTTTTTGTTTTTTATTGTACAGAATTGTCTTTTTCATTTGGTGCTCATATTATTTTACTATATTGCACTGAATTTTTCAAAATAATTTTTGGAATTAATCATATTTTTATGACATTTGAAAGTCCTTATAAAAAAATCTGACGTCAGAAGAAAAACTGAAACGCAGTTTCACTACATCTGCCCCATAGTTTCATATGTGTATTGATTGTTTCGTGAGTTTTGAAATTTTTTGGTTTTGGTCAAAATGTTGCTGGCTTAATTAGTTGAGCACAAGTGCACATACATACATATTTATAGACACTTAAGACATGCGAAGCCTATCTACATACATAACATTCGAGCGATGAATTTGGTTGGTTGCTGTGTGGAGTTTTTGGTGATGTTGGCTGTGTCCTTTGGTTTTTACTGTTTGTTGGATTTCATAGATTTGAGTATGTATGCACTCCCGTTGCAGTCAGATAAAAAAATGTGGCGATTTTTTCTTCGAAAAACTTTAACTTTAATTGAGAAAAACTAGAAAAAATTTCCGTACATATCGTTTGTGTTTAAAAGAAATTTTTTGAAAAACAAAACGTTTAAACTCACTGTAAACGACTGAACAGCTAATCGTATGTATAGTAGATTTGTATATGTATAACTTTTTCTGCTTTAAAAAAGTTTTAAGTAAATTTTACTTTCATTTTATCGGCTTAGAATACATACATACATATGTATACGCTTTTGTTATTTTAAATTCGCCTGAAGATTTTAGCAAATAATCCCTGATTTATGAACTACATAGAAAATTTCATGAGCGCTTAGATGCACTTTTATTCGCCACTTAATATTCTGGTGGCACATTTTTTTAATATACATTTTCAGATTCCGCTTGTGGATTAAAGTGCAATGAATATAAAAAAGAAAAAAAAATAATGAAAGAAAAAAATCCCAAAATAACATTGATAAAGAGGGAAGCGGTTGACATGCAAATTTTAAGTCAGACTAAAACAAAACTTACACCATCACACACTTAATAAACATATACATATATATCTGGGCATGAGAAATTGGGGATATGCAATACATATGTGCATATTTACACGTGTATACTAGGGCGGGTCGAAAATTTAATTTTCCTATTTATATCTAAATACTTGTTGCATGTTCCCTACTTTCATACAACGTTAAATTTATAAACAGCGAAAAATGTGCTTCTTCGGTGACTAATGAAAAAATTTAATTTTCAAGAATGCATCAATGGACTTAAAATGAGCGTTGCTCACCTAATTTTATTTAGTCTTATTGAAAATTGATATATGAACGTGGGATACTAAATTTAATAAACTTTAATTTGGAATATCGTCTTGTTTGTAACAATTAACGCATTCCCTAGATAATGCCGGCCAAAGTTTCATTTAAAAAATGCATACGTTTTGAATCAATTACGCGTGCTAAAAATATGTTTTATATAATTATTTCGTCGCCAATTATAATTGGCTTAGACCTAAGACAACATAATATTACTATACTACAATACCATCAAATGCCATTTCTTTTCCCCCAAACAAAATCGGCCCAGCCTAAATAGTGTATACGTACATATGCATAGAGCGTAGAAAAAACTAAAAAAAATTAAAACAATGACGACCCAAACATGCAAATAAACATTATAATGCATGAGCTGAGACGCTGGTACAAACAGATAAACAAACAAACAAGCAAACAAATGAATCAGTGATATATAAAAATAAATCGTGAAAATAATGTCAAACATCGCAGTCACTTGTGTATGTATAACTAGTAATGTATGTATGCGTATGAATAAACAAAAGATGAGTATGTATGTACATCTGTATTATTATGCACATACTTATAGTGCAAATATGAATAAATGTACATATACAGCAAGGATACTGGCAAAAGACCAAGTGCATTGAAGTTAAAACAAATGCAATATGCGTATGCGCACACCCACACCAGCACACAATTAAATATGTGCATATGTATGGAACATATGCAAATTAAGCGGCGGTTGAAAATCTTAGCGAACCTTTAGGGGTATTCTCGAAGTCTTGCAAAGCTCTTGCACGGTGCACGGATTGCACGGTTTGCAAAGCTACGCCATACGAAAACCGGCTTTTACCAGGCAATCTGTGCAATCCGTGCGCCGTGCAAGGGCTATGCATCACTTCGAGAATACCCCTAATCTGTTTTAAAACCTTCAGAGCGAGTTTTGCAAAGATGAACTGAGCGGTTAACGAACCATTCAACACCTAAGGCTGACTCAATCAGCGAAGTTTGGAAGGTGCTAGATTTAGTATAACTTATCTTTAGTCAGTCAAACAGTTATTATGTATATTTAATATACTAAATTGTATATGTACATAGTCGGTACATATATTTGCATCATCTGAAACTCTTTAAGTTTGTTAGCGATTTGTTTAAAGGGAAGTCCTATTTTTGTGGCACGTTTGCCTGGGACCTGTTCGACGTAGTGGTTTCTAATATCATGAAAACTTCTGCCATTAATTTACATAAGCATTAAGTAGATCCCAGTTTTTCTTTCTGATATAATCAGGATTATTTCAAGAGAGCATCCTACTGCCACTTTTTCAGATTCATCTTCATCTCTCTTTGCCCCTATGTCCTTTGACTTAGGTACCAGAGACGATCATTAGCCCAGATACTGCATTTCTTGAATAGCTTATAATGAAGGTTGCCAAAATATAATTTTGCTTTATTTTGGTTATAGACTCCATTACTTAATTTTTACTGGCTTGGATGATGCTTCTGTACTTTTGAAACGTAGAGAAAAAAGCGCCTCAGAGTTCTTCAGAGTAGACTTCCACTCTTGCATCGCAGTCCACCTGGGATCAGTCGTGCTGCTCTATTCTCTGCTGCAATTAAGGGAGCAGTAGACATACTGGTCAATACATCAATAACGGATGTA